GACCATTGTCCTTCACAAAGCTAGCTTTGGGAGTGACAAAGGCCGCCTTGCCTTTCTTGGAGGTATAGCCTAATCCCTCTTTGTTGAGAGAAAACATTTGGCTACCCAAGCACTTTAGCAAGTGGGCTTCTCCACCATAGGCATTGCCTAAGGCACGAGTGAGCTCATTCACCTCCTTCTTAAGGGTCTCATTTTCCACCACTAGTGATGCATCATTCTTAAGTGAAGTGGAAGTGGTAGTGCTACAAGAAGTGTTAGTGGGAGCAATAGCAATAGGCTTATAAGAAGATTCATTAATAAGATCATATGTTAGTCCTACATCACATGTAAATATCACTCGCTCCTTCTTGGCTTCCTCCTTCTTGACTTGCTCTATGAGAGAGGAGTGAGTTTTTTCAAGCTTTGAGTGAGCTTTGCCAAGCTTCTCATGGGCATCCATTAGCCCCTCATGAGTGGCATTGAGCTCATCAAAGGATTGTTTAAGAAATTTTACTCTCTTGCGCAATTCTTTGCACTCCTTTCTTTTCATCTCATTGCAAGCGTGCACTTGCTCACACATGTCCATGAGCTCCTCCTTAGAGTACTCATCATCGTCATCATCATTATCATCCCTATAAGAGTCACTTTCACATTCATCATCATCACTCTCATCATATTTTACCTTGGTAGGCTTAGCCATGAGGCATGTTGATGGAGTGTCGAAGATGGAGGGCTTATTGTTGATGGCGATGCTTGCTAGTGCTCTCTTGATAGATTTCTTGTCATCAACATTAGAGCTATCACTATCCGAGGAGCCATCACTATCCCATGTGACCACATAGCCTCTACCTTTCTTCTTCTTTTGAAAGATCATTCTCTTCTCCTTATTTTCCTTCTTTTCTTTCTTATCCTCCTTGTGCTTCTTCTTCTCATCCTCATCATTGTCACTATTATAGGGACAATTTGCTACTACATGATCAGGGCTCTTGTAATTGTAGCATCTTCTCATATACTCTTTCCTCTTGGTGTGATCTCTTCTTTTTCTTACACCATAGCCCTTCTTCTTCATGAATTTTCCTATCTTGCGCACAAAGAGAGCCATAGCTTCATCATCAATATCACTAAGCTCATCATCGTCACTTGATTCTTTCTTGGATTTGCCCTTGTTCTTGGATGATGATGAACTAGCCTTGAATGCTACATTTTTCTTCTTCTTGTCTTCTTCATCCTTCTTGTCATCCTTGTCAACCCCCTCCCTTTCCACACGGTATGTCTCTTGGGTCATGACATCACCTAGTACTTGGTTGGGGGTAATGTCCTTCAATCCTCCTCTTATAATGAGCAATCTTAACATCTCAAATCTTGGAAGTAGGCACATCAAGAACCGATGAGAGACATCATCATTCTTGATCTTTTCTCCCAATGCCTTCAAATCATTGACAATGACTTGCAATCGATGAAACATCTCCAGAATGCTCTCATCATCCTTCATCTTAAAGCTTGTCAATTTGTCCTTGAGGATATACAACTTGGAACTCTTTACCACCAGTGTGCCCTCATATGTTTCCTCCAATCTCCTCCATACCTCATTTGCTCTTTTACAATCTTTGATTTGTTCAAACACCTTGGAATCAATGGCGTTGTATATGGTGTTGAGAGCCATTGTGTTGCATTGCTTGTTGGTCTTGTCTTGGTTAGTGGGATTGTCGGGATCAATGATAGCATAATCATTCTCGGTCACTTCCCATACTTGATCATTGATTGAACCAAGATACATTCTCATCTTTCTCTTCCAATAATCATAGCTTGTGCCATCAAAGAACGGTGGTTTGCCCCCCACATGGTTGAACACAACTTGAGCCATAATTTGACACCGATGTTGTTAAGCCTTTAATCAAACGGTGACCACGGCTCTGATACCACTTGAAAGGTCCTAATATGGCTAGAGGAGGTGAATAGCCTATTTAAGAAACTACAAATCAAGTAGAGCAATTTGATTAGTATGACAAATAGCGGAATGCAAACTTGCTCTAGCTCTACAAGGGTTGCAAGCCACCTATCCAACAATTCTAGTTGCAATGATTAATACACACACAACTTGCTATAATAATACTCACTAAGAGCTCTCAATCTTGCTACACTAAAGAGCTCCACTAGATGAACTTAAATAACAAAGCAAGCTCTCAATTCTAATTACACTAAAGAGCTTGCTACAACTAGTTTACAAGAATGTAAGAGAGTGAGTAGGGTGATTATACCGTCGTGTAGTGGGATGAACCAATCACAAGATGAATATGAAATCAATCACCGAGAGAATACCAAAGGTCAAGAGACAACCGATTTTCTCCCGAGGTTCAAGTGCTTGCCAACACGCTAGTCCCCGTTGTGTCGACCAACACTTGGTGGTTCGGTGGCTAAGAGGTGTTTCATAAACCTCGTCCACATGATTGGACACCGCAAGAACCTACCCACAAGTGAGGTAACTGAATGACACGAGCAATTTACTAGAGTTACCTTTCGGCACTTCGCCGGGAAGGTACAACTCCCCTCACAATCACCGGAGACGGCCACGAACAATCACCAACTCATGCCGATCCTCCACCGTTGCACCAAGCCGTCTAGGTGGTGGCAACCATCAAGAGCAACAAGCGAAATCCGCAGCAAAACACGAATACCAAGTACCTCTAGATGCAATCACTCAAGCAATGCATTTGGAATCTCTCCCAATCTCACAATGATGATGGACCAATGATGGAGATGAGTGGAAGGACTTTGGCTAAGCTCACAAGGTTGCTATATCAATGCAAATGGCCAAGAGAGTAAGCTTGAACCGGCCATGGGGCTTAAATAGAAGCCCCCACGAAATAGAGCCGTTATACCCCTTCACTGGGCATAACGCGGGCTGACCGGACGCTCCGGTCAGTTGACCAGACGCTGAGCCCCCAGCGTTCGGTCGCTCGCAGTTAGCCACGTGTCCCGATTACAACGGTCAACTGCCTTGACCGGACACTGTGCTAAAGTTGACCGGACGCTGAACCCCCAGCGTCCGGTCGTTTACAGTAAGGTTCCAGAACCGACTTTTGCCGACCGGACGCGTCCGGTTATGCTTGACCGGACCCTGCCAGCGTCCGGTCGCAAGGTATCTGTCTGCTGCTCCGCCCAACAACAGCACCGGACGCAGCCACCAGCGTCCGGTCGCTGAACGACCAGCGTCCGATCACTTCTAGTGACCTCCATCTTTTCTGTCTAGGGCGCTGATGGCACCGTCGGACTATCCGCACTCTACGGGCGGACACTCCACTGGTGAAGTTTCTTACCCTTGCACCTAAACTTCACCTCCCCTGATCAAATGTGCCAACCACCAGGTGTATCATCTTGTGCACATGTGTTAGCATATTTTCACAAACATTTTTAAGGATGTTAGCACTCCACTAGATCCTAAATGCATATGCAATGAGTTACAGCATCTAGTGGCACTTTGATAACCGTATTTCAATACGAGTTTCACTCCTCTTAATAGTACGGCTATCGATCCTAAATGTGATCACACTCGCTAAGTGTCTTGATCACTAAAATAAAATAGCTCCTACTATTTATACCTTTGCCTTGAGCCTTTTGTTTTTCTCTTTCTTCTTTTCCAAGTTCAAGCATTTGATCATCACCATGCCATCATCATCGTCATGATCTTCGCCATTGCTTCATCACTTGGAGTAGTGCTACCTATCTCATGATCACCTTGATAAACTAGGTTAGCACTTAGGGTTTCATCAATTAACCAAAACCAAACTAGAGCTTTCATCTGTCCTCCCACACAGCACGGTCCTGGCTCATCTGATTCAAGGATCGACAAAGCTATTAGTAATGTACCAGTCGTAAAATCTGCTGGTATAGATATACTAATTGATTTGTAATGCTTTCTTCTATCACGGATACTACTAGTTTCATTTGGACGTTTCGATAGATCGGGTGTTGCATCTCCCTCCTCGCCTCGGTGTCTCCTCCTCTTCTAGATGCTGGTGGTGTTCGGGCAGTGTGGGCCTGTGTGGGGGTGGACGGCATGGGTGGGGCGAGTCGTTCGTGGGGCGAGTCGTTCGAGTGGCGCGGAATCCGAGCGGGCGGGGCGTGCGGCACGGAGCAAGCGCGGGGCGCGGGGAGCTACGTCCGAACGCGAGCCAAGGACCGGACGTCCGAGCGCTAGCCTGACTGTAATAAGCTTCTATTGCTGAGAGCTGGCTTACTTCCTGTGAACTAGCTGTTGGCACTTGGCGGTTGAGTAATGCTTTATTGCTTGTAGAGCTGTTGATGAGCGCCCTCTTCCTAATACGCCTTAGCTACATGGCTGGTGATTGATGATGTTAACACCTAACAGGGTCTTATACGTACACCACTACATGTTTTTCAGCTGATTCTTTCGGGCATCTATGCACATTTTCTTTTCCTTGATTACTTTATTAACCAAACTGAGTTTTGAATCAAAATTGAGTCGTCTTGAATAAATATTTACTTTTCAGATTAGTCATCAGTGTAAAAGAATGGAGGTAGTGTTAACCCTTTTAGTCACAAGTTCGCATATGGCTAATTGACTATATATATTTGTATCTGATTGATGAAATACAAAACAGATAAAGAAAAGAAAAAAAAACTTTTTTAGAGAAATAAGTTGTAAATGCTACCGGCTGTTTGGCACTGCTGGCTGGATCGTGGATTATTACTACTGACTAGTTTGGTGTAAAAGAAAAATACTGTTCTAACTAAAAGACACTGTTTATATGAACAGTACACACGTGAGAGGGCTGGCCAGCACCCGCCACAGCCAGCCAGCCGCGTGAGAGGGCTTGGATTTAGCGTGGGTGCCTGCCTGGGTGGTGGCTGGTAAGCAGTAGCAGCAACGACAGTTATTGCCACTTTGCACTGACCAACTAAGATCAGTTTTTTTATGCGTCTGATTCATATGTTTTAGGGTCAAAGCCACCACCTTAAAGCCATGTCCATCTCAGGGTCTTCCTCCCTGCAACTCTTCAATGGCGGGTGACAACGGGTCGGTGGTTCGGTGGCTCTACCTCTCCGTGTACAACTGGGTTACCTTCTTCGGATGGTTAGTAGTAGATCTGCCTATTTTCAGTTCCCAATCAGGTCTCTCTTGGATTGGACATGGGCCTGTTGGTTTGATTTGGGTTCTTGGATTTGAATTCTGCAGGTTGGAGGTGCTATACCACTCAACCTTGGCGTTGTTAGGCGGTGGCCATGAGACCGTCTACGCTGCTGTCAAGCTGCCACTTCTGTTTTCACAGACTGCTGCCTTAGCAGAGGTAAACTAATCTTAACCTAGTCGCATGTTTTATTGAACATCTTAATGTAATTATACAGAAGATCAGAAGTCTATAATTTGTTATACAGAAGATCAGAAGTCTATAATTTGAAATTCTCTCTCTTTTTTTGCGAGTAATTTGAAACCCTCTCATCTTGATAGTCATTTCGAAATGGATTCAATGTTTTCAGCAGCCTTTGCCCCCACATGTGAAGGCCGCATTACCACAGAGTCAGCATGCCATGTGGATAGTTTAACACAAGTGAAGATTTAGACTTCATATGGTACAATTAGCAAGTTTTAGGGTGCTAAAAATTCGTTTTAAGTGTATCAGCACCTCAATGAAAACATAAGACAAGTTCAAGAACCACTGATGAAATTTACTCATCTAACCACATGTCGGTGTCACATCATCGTAAACACTTAATCAGCAAGCCACATGGACAGTTTGGCACAAGTTCTGAAGATTTAGACCTCCTGTGGTTTAATTAGTAAGTTTGGGGTGCTAAATGTATATTTTGGGTACCAGGACCTAGATAAGAACACGGGACAAATTCGTGGAGCGTTGGTGAAATTTTTATCATTGAATTCCTTGTATCATCCTAACCGTGCTAATTTACTAAGTAATTTGAATTTCACTGGTGATGGCGTCGCTGGTAGCGCAGATTCCTCATTCTATTATAGGTAAGAGGTTCTTCTTTCTCTCTCATTTATGTTTATATTTTCACTATCCTTGTTAGTCATGATATTCTAGTTATTGAATGCAGTCTTTATCAGAACTGACTTTTTGTATGAAAATAATCCTCAAAGATTTCAACATGAAAGCAGTAATTTTCAGAAATTAACTCTTGTATTACTTTTTTGGAAAAATTGAAATGATATGTTGAACTGCTCAAAGGGCTTGTGAGATCTCCAATCAGTGCAACTCTTCCACAAGTTGGCGGAAGGATGTTAGTTACCTGGTACATCGTGTGGAGTTTTCCTGAGGTAGCATCAGCTCTTGATCTTTCATATTACACAAGTTCTGGTTTTTAAAGGGCATGCTGAATAAAGAAAACATGGTGATTTGTTCAACTCCTAAACTAGAATGTTAGGCCTGGTTTAGTTCCCAAAAATTTTCACCCCAAACTATCACATTGAATCTTGCGGCACATGCATTGAGTATTAAATATAGACAAAAAAAAACTAATTACACAGTTTGGTTGAAAATCGCGAGACGAATGTTTTAAGACTAATTAGTCCATGATTAGCTATAAGTGCTACAGTAACTAATATGCGCTAATGATGGATTAATTAGGCTTAATAAATTCGTCTTGCAGTTTCCAGGCGAGCTATGTAATTAGTTTTTTATTAGTATCTGAAAACCCCTTCCGACATCCCCAAAACATCCGATGTGACATCAAAAAATTTTATTTCGCGAACTAAACACAGCCTTAGTTATGTTTTGCTTCTGACCATGGGACAGCCACAGATAAGACAGCACGAGTGCATCTTAGGGACGACTGCTCTGCTTTCTTCAGTTTACTTTTGTTGTATATATCCCAACTAAGTAAACAGTTACTTGGCTGGGTTCTCAAGAATACTGTATGATCAATGTGCACGTTGTTTGCGTTGCAGACACAGTCTCATGTCCTCGTTACTTCCTTGGTCCTAAGCTGGTCCATCACTGAGGTACGTACATACTAACTGCAACAGATGTTGAGTATATATATCACCTTCAGTACCCCTGAGTTCCTAAAGTAAAAAATAGAAAAAAAAAGTTGCATGTTGTGATTTGTGAAGTTTCTCATGATGATATTAATGTCAAAACATAGTGCCTCCTCCATTTCAGAGTATACTTCACTGCTGTGGATTGCAGGTCATCAGATATTCTTTCTTTGGTTTGAAGGAGGCATTTGGAATTACACCTTTCTGGCTCCTATGGCTCAGGTTGGTACAAGTTCTGAATACATCCATCCCACTATTCCACAGAGACTTGAAAGAAATCGTGATACACCCTTTTGCAATTTCTGTTTAAATTGAACCACTACCTGTTATTTTCCCAACCTTTTGAAGGTACTCCACGTTCACTGTACTGTATCCTATTGGGCTTATCAGTGAGGTCGGCTTAATCTTCACTGCCATGCCTCACATGAAGGTAAGTGAACTGAAGAAACCAGATGCCCATGTTGCTCAAGCTCAACTGCTCAACTGGGTAACGGGTTTGACCTACCTTGGCAACAACTTTAATTTGCAGGGGAGATCCTTCTACATCTGCGCTGGATTAACCGCTCTCTACATCCCAGGTGCCCCTCCCTCTCTATCTCTATATCTTCATCCAAGCAAAGTAGGATCTGACATGACACACTGCTGCTTCTGCTTCTTTTGGCTCTCAGGATTCCCATACTTGTACCGTTACATGCTCGCCCAGAGGAAGAAGGTCCTGTCCAAGGCGAAAACCGCGTAATGCTCCAGACAAGCCTCACTGTCACAGAGTAACCATGTGGTTGTACACTTGTACTGTACCATGGCTCGGTTGTACTGTAATACCAGGGAATACTGAATATATAGCTCTTCGCCTCTTCCATGGGTGAAAGAAAATAAAATCATATATAAGTGGATACTTTTTTGTGCGCACAAAGCTTCTCGGTTTTCGGTGTTGATGCTCGGCTTTCAGATCAGATCTAGTTTGCTCCATTTTTTCCCGGAAAAAAAAAGAGATAAAGTTTCTGTTAATGGAGTCACTTGACATGCATGAATAGCAAGAAGCAAGAAGGATACGGTCACCATTTGCTTCAGGCAAATATGTATGCAGCGACTACTCTCTCTCTCTCAGAGCTGAAAAGAAAAGGAGGTGATAAAGGTAGGCAGAGATCAGGTCAGTGATGCAAAGGAGGCAGCCAATTGCATCCCTGCATCCTGGATTTGCCTTTTTGTGCAGCTGTTAGGTACGCTGTGCCTTTCTCACTTCCTTTCTACCTTCCATACATCGTCCATCCGTCCAATTGCTGCAAAGTGTCAAATTGATGCCTCTATTTCTTTCTTCCCCTCCTGGTGTACTTCCCTTCCAATTATGGACAATGCGTGTGCTTTCCAGATTGTCCTGCCCATCTGGTGACAGTGACACCATCTATCTCACGCTTTTCAAGCATCAAGTAGTGTGAGAATCATATGTTATCTTAACTAACAGCTACCACTGCTGCCACTCTTCTTGATTTTATTCTGTTTACACTTCCAAGTTTGCCGTATCTTGGCTGCCATAACTGTCCTTATATTTAATTGTGTACCCTTGCATTTGAGTTATGGTGTGGAAGAGAGGACTGCATGCGTTGTCGATCTATCTATAAACCGATGTCATGGAAAGTGATCAAAATGGAGAATTTTTCATGGAAGGAGAAAGGAGGTCATTTTATTAGTAGTGGAACAGAAAAGGTCAAGGTTAAGTAATAAACATTCTGAATCATCGTAGTATCTTGGATCTGATGGCTGTAGTATATGTTATGGGTACGATACGATTGTGCCGTATATATGCACCCAAATTGAAGTGCCAACCACGCCCAATCAGATGGTACTTTATATACTCCAATAATAAATAAGAGAAACAAGTATATTTGTTTGTTTCGCCACTTGGCTTGGGAATCTTCTCTCTGGACTGGAGTAGTATGAACCGATGGCGGCAACCTTGGCCTCTGCGTGCGAAGTGCGAACGAGTCGCGGGACAGATGGTCTTCTCCATCCTTGAGGCTGAGGGCGTTGCATTTGCATCGCAGTTTCCGGATGATGGACAGGTCAGAACAATCTCCCGTCCAGATGCTCAACCAAGCCTTTGCTGCGGACGGCCTTATCGACTGCGTAATGCATGCGTACTCGTCAACGACGGCAACCTCTGCCTGACCGCGCCCGACGAATTGTTAATATAAGAAAGAAAATTCAGGAACCTGCCAGCTGTGTGGTAAACCAACGGCCATAGCTAGGTTGCTCGCAAGAGCCGACTTGTGTACCTCTGCCTCGGATGCTTATATAAAACCAATTACCATCGCATACGGTGTGTCAGTGTCACTTTGTAGTATTAGCGAGCTAGCAAAGTGTTTAGTTTTTTTTTTCCATTTGAAGTCTTCCTTCAGTTCAATCTTTTGTTACTAATCGATGACTGAAAAGTTGCTTATAAAGTAGCCTTCAACATTTGGCTGATACGGCGGTGGGGCTTTTGTCGACGTGGATTCTAGACTTCTAACTTTTTTATAATATGTTTTGTCGATCTGGTTGATTGTCCCACTGTTTTGCATCGACTAAAACCAGGTGCCATGCTAATTTTAACCGCTATGGTTTTAGTCTAAAAAGAAGTTGTGTCCTACCATTTTAACCCCCGAGAGCAATGCTTTAGAGGGTTACAAGAAACAAACCAATGTGATTTATTTTTTTATAGTCATACGTAATGTATTTTTTTATCTTTCTTGTCTTTTACAATTTAAACGGAGGGACTAGCGCCCGGATGTCCAGACGCGGTGTCCGTTTCGCTGAAATTTAGGTTATGCTGATGTTTATGTTGATTTGTTGTGAGAGAAAAACAATGTTCGTTCGCTGAAAAGTACTGCTGAAGTAGTGCTAGGACTGTAACACCTCTGGTGTTTTGACCTATCATTAAAATTTGACATGTCATCATATGCATGGCAAAGCATTCATGAAGTAGAAAATTTTGAATACATTCACTAAATAAGCTTTATTTCATAATGTTGTTATTTCATGTGATGTGTTTCAAAACCCTAAATAAAAATCATGACCACAAGGGTCAAATTTCATATGATCATGTGAGGTCATGTGTCATTTGACTCAAATAACACTAATGGGCCATGTTACTGGTCAAAAATCAAAGTTAAAGTAAAAGGAAGACAAATCAAATTTGAATTCAAATTCATATTATAAAAGTCCTTTTTGCCCCTTTTGACTAATTCAAAATCCATGTAGAATTTGGGGTTGAGGCAAAAAGCAAAGTTGAAGATTATTTTATAAGGGTCAACTTTGGTATTCAAAGTTTTTCAAGTTTACAAATAAAATTTGGAGTAATTTTGAAATGATTCATATACTCAAATGCACCCCAAATTCAAATTTCAAAATGGAGGCAGAATTTGAAAATGTTCCTTGAAGCAAAGTTGTAGAGTTTGAAAAATTGAGCAACTTTCATTTTCGGAGATTTTCATCTTCTTTAGAAAATTTATGAGTAATTTGCAAAATTGACACAGTGGCAATTCTATAAATACATCAAAATTGAAAAAAAAACAGCCGAGCGCCACCTCTCTGCTTGCCGCCGGCGCCACGCGGATGTCGCCGCCGATCAGATTGCGCCGCTTCCTCTCGCATTGACACGCAGCTGGTGCCGTGGCGGGTCCGTTTGTGCGCTGTCGACGCCGGGCAACGCCTTCCCGGCTATAAATAGCAGCAGCCGCCGCCGTCGTCCCCGTTTTCCCCTTCTGCTCTGCTCCGCCGCCAGCTAGCTCCGCCGCTCACCGTAGCCATCGTCAAGCCGCGTCCGTCATGCCCAGCTACGCCAACGAGATCGCCTCGGTCTTGCGTTTCTCTGTGGCTTGCTCACGTCGCTTGGGTTGGCCGGAATCGCCCGGCGCAACGTCTTCTTCCCCGAGACCGGCCGGAGCTCCGCCACCATCGACTCGACGTGGCCAGGCCGTTCCAGACCGTCTCCGTCTTCACCAAACGTACCGGCGTGACCGTGGTGAGCTACTGAACGTGATACTCACTTTTTTTTAGACTCTACTACGCCATTGCCAGGGTTACGCCGTGAGCCGTCGTGCTCAAGCCGCCATGGCCGACGTGGAGTCTTCTCCGGTGCGCCTTCTGCCATTCAAAGGGCGGAGATGGGTTCGTAGGAGTGTGTAGATCATTTGGGTGCGGTCTGTCTCGCCGGAGCGTCACCGTCGGCGCATTTTGGGCCGGCCAGTGATGGCAGCGTCGCCGTGACCTGTATGAGTCACTGACGAGTGGGGTCGGGCTGTCAGTGAGAAGGAAGGAGAAGAACAGTGAAGTTTTTATTATTTTCTGATTTTGAATAGTGCTGAAACTTTGGGAATTTGTAGGAAAATAATCATAGCTCCAAAATTTTCAAAATTTTGTATGTAGCCTCTGTACATGCTCTAGTATGGTTTAAAATTTTGAAACATAAAAGTTGAATAATTTTTTAATGTTCGAATATTCAGTCCATTAATTAATAAATGCAATTTTCATGATTTTTGTAGGCTACTGTATAATTCAAAAAATTATAAAATTTGTTTTGGTACACTAATTTGACATAAGGAAGCTTACGTAAATTTTTGAAGTCATTTGGAACAAGTTCATTTTTTTACTTAATTCCAAATTAATTCAAAAATAAATAAAAGCAAACCCTAAGTGTTTGATTAGTGTTTGATCTTGTTTTGATCATGTTTTGTGACCAGTAGGGTTTCAAGATTAGTGGTCGAAGAGTTCACCGTAGTGGTCGGAGAATTCACCGTAGTCGTCGAAGAGTTCACCGTAGTGGTCGAAGAGTTCACCGTGGTGGTCGGAGAGTTCACCGTAGTGGTCGGAGAGTTCGCCGAAGTGGTCGGAGAGCTCGCCGAAGTGGTCGGTGCTGACGTGGTCACATCTGTTACTAATATGGTTTGGTTAGTTTGGCTTGTAACTGTACCGTGAAGGAAAGTTGTATTCAAGGTGTTGTTATATTTCATGCACCATGAAAGCATCATGTTTACATTATCATCATGTTGAAGCATATGCTATTATTTTGTGTAGAATCCGAGAGTGAACCGATTCTAGTTGAGCAAGTTCTAGAAGAATCCCTGGTTGTCACGGGATTCGATAATAGTGGTGCTGATCCGAAACCTGAGATCGTCAACGAAGGCAAGCCCCGATTTATGCATTAAACCATTACCTTGTTTACTTTGAAAAGTTTATCACCTATGTTACTTATTGTATTAAGTTGATTTATTCAAATGTTACCTACTTGATGCATTGCCTACCTTGTTGATTGTTTACCATCCTTGAAGATGATTTCATTTACAAAGGCGTAGAATTGCTTAGTATGCTTTATGGTAGGTTTTCAAAGTAAAAGTTTCGATACAATCAAAGATGGCATCTTGGCCAAAGAAAAGAAAGAAAGAAGATAGAATGAACTAGAGACTAGTTGGGTGGCTTATCTTGAATGTTGGGTAATGTTACCGACTATGTCGCTTAAAGGCCACTCATTGTGGATCTTTTGAACGAGACACTTTATAGTCTTGGTCACATACTCGGTAAGCCTACTTCGCTAATCCGATACTAAGGCGAATGCCCACGACCGGGAGTGGTGAGATGGTGGGAGAAGCGTGTACCCTCGTGGCTTGAATGTGGGCGGATTTGAGGCGTCTGTGTGCTCTCGGGTGGTGTGGGGACGGCTTAGTATAGGAGGATCCGGTAGCGATGTTGATATATACAAGATTA